TCAGCCACCGAAATCGAACAGAAAAAGCTTTATGCATTATTACAGAAAAGAAACAGAAATTCCAAAACGGAAAAAATAAGCGAGCTAAACTGAGCTGCAGAGAAATGAAGTAAACAACATGCAAAAATTTCTAAAAAAATGCACCCAAACACCTCTAAATTCAGAAATTGACAAATCCCTAATAATCGAATTCAAATCAAACAATCATAAACTAAACGAAACGACGTTGAAATTACAAATGGAAAAAAGTAACGCCCGGATTTTATTTTATTTTTCCAATAAACTTATTTAGATACACAACACCAAGGTACTTGATGACATATTTATGTAAGGTTTTTTAGCCAAAATGTTCCCTGAAATTTGCATAACACATCACTTTGGTCCCTGAGATTGTCTAACATCCATTATTTTGGTCCTTCCATTAAAAACTCCATTAAGTGGTCCCAGAGATCATACTGGAAACTAAGATTTTTGGCCAGAAGTTTGGGCAATTTTCAAAGCTTCATAACTCAATCGTTTCTTAACCAAATTCGACCCATAATATATCAAAATGAAGATGGGAAAGTGCTGAACAATATTTTACCCATTTAGAAGCCCAATGGTTGTTGTTCATGGCCGGAAAATAACCTGAAAGGTGACTGGCCTGCGAGAAAACTGAAAAACTTGCTGGAAACTGGGTAAAATTTAAACGTTTATAACTTCTTCAATACTCAACGAAATCAAGTGATTTAAAATGAAAATCATACTTTTCAACAAGATGAAGATAATGGTACCTTTTTTTTATGGCTAACTCACTGTGGTTTGGCCGAAAAACGGCTCAAAAGTGGCTAAATCAATGAGACCAAGACAACCACTTTCGAACCGTTTTCTGGCCAAACCACGACGAGTTAGCCATGGAGAAAGCTACCATTCTCTTTGTCTCGTCGAGGAGTATGATTTTCGAATTGAATCATTTGATTTCATTGAGTATTGAAGAAGTTATGAACATTTAAAATCTACCCAGTTTCCGGCAAGTTTTTCAGCTTTCCCGAAGATCAATCACCTTTTAGGATATTTTCCGGCCAAATCATGGAATTTTAGCCATTGAGAAAGAACCACTCTATTCTTCTCGTCGAGAAGTATGATTTTCGTTTTTAAATCACTCAATTTCATTGAGTATTGAAGAAGTTATGAACGTTTAAAGTTTACCTAGTTTTCCAGGTTTCTCACTGACTAGTCACATTTCAGGCTATTTTTCGGAAAAATCACGATAATTTAGCCATTGAGAAAGGTACCATTCCCTTTGTCTCATTGAGAAGTATGATTTTCGTTTTTGAATCACTCAATTTCGTTGAGTATTGAAGAAGTTATGAACGTTTAAAGTTTACCCAGTTTCCCGAGAGTTTTCCAATTTTTCCGCGGACCAGTCACCTTTCAGGCTATTTTCCGTCCATCTCCGGCAACCATTGGGCTTCCAAATGGCATAATCTTGTTCAGAAATTTCCTATCTTCATTTTGATATATTATAGGTCAAATTTGGTTAAGAAACGATTGAGTTACGAAACTTTGAAAATTACCCAAACTTCTGGCCAAAATTTCAGTTTCCAGTACGAGCTCCGGGACCACTTAACGGAGTTTTTAACGGAAATACCAAAATAATGGATGGTGGACAATCTCAAGGACCATTTCTATTGATTTTCAATCTCAGAGACAAAGTGATGTGTTATGCAAATCTCATGAACCATTTTGGCTAAAAAACCTTGATGTAATAGTGTGTTAGTTTTGTGTGTCTAAATGCATCACTATTCCTATAATATTTCTATCAATTAATTGTCTATATTGCGAGGCTGTTAAAATGATTTACTATATACGGCACCTAGTTAAGTAGTTCTATAAAACATAGTTGTGTAAAGAGGATAAAGTCATGTACATACTTGTTAACTAAAGAGAAATGTTCCAGTTACCCTTTCTCTGTAAAAGACTATCCTCCTCTCAGTAGCCACAACTGGCTGCAGTGATGAGGCAATTTGTACCCTCATGAAGAGAAGTGCTGAATACATGGAGCCCATCGCACTGAAAATATCTTGTTGCTTGTTCCTGCATTTCAGAAATTTTAGAAAAAATTATGGATCCAGAAATGAGGGGTTCCATTTTTACACATTTTGGTTCTATATTTTCGCCATGAACCTAGGTTGCTATGTCAGCATGCGTTACATTATTATTATATTTTTATTTTTATAAATTTCACGTTTCACAGCCCTAATAATATCATCAACATAAACAAACAAAGAAGGAACATGCAATATGATAAACCACTATCTAAAGTGCCTTTTTAGCAATAGGATTAGCACCAGTGTTTTACATACATTTTGAGATCTCTATAATTGAGGAGGGTTAGGGCGGGTGAAATTCATATTTTTCATTGACTGAATATTATAAACCAAAATTTGATTCCAATTAATGAAGATGAAAAACCAATAAATAGCGTGAGATATGAATGTTATATTATTGATTGGGATTTTACTGAAGAAGCAACACTACTAGAAAATATTATTTTGCCGACAAACTAATTTTATCGGTAAAATCAAAATTTCTAGTAGTGCAAGACACTGCTTGCAAACTCCTTAGTCGAAACTTTGCACTTAATTTGCTTTCATCTGCAAGATTCCGAAAACCCAAAAGAAAAAGATTGATGTTTACAAAAATCTTACCTCTATATATGTTAATCCGAAAATAATCACTTGGTGGTACTGGTGGACGACAATTGCTCACAATCTTAGTAAAATGAAGAATGTGAGATCATAATTTTTTAAGACCGGAGTAAGGTGACCAGACCTAAGTGAAATTTTTTTTTAATAGAGTAAAAAGTATCAACAAAATTCTAGATACGAATACCATAGAAGTCCGATCTTGGACTCAACAGCTTCATGATAACTGACCAATTTAGATTACAAGGGGTATGGGGTATGTATGGAGAGGAGAGCTCAGCACTGCGGGGTGCAAGAGAGCCGTCGGTCCAATGAAGAAAGATACATAACGCCACGTTTGAACTTCATCCCTTCACATTCCCACTTCCATGAATGAAGCTAGTACAGGTTACTGAAACTAGGTATCTTAAGTACATGTGTTCTCAAACATAGCTAGTGCAAAGATTGTGGTGGCTAGAAGGAAGGCAATTATAGATGGTCTCTGGCCTACCAGGGCAGACAGAAGCTGGCCCCAAGAACAAAGTGCAGAGCTGCAATGGAGATTGGCAATGACCAAAAGGCTTCCTACCATTCAGCATTTTATTTAACTGAAACTTGATGGCAAGGCTAGGGAATTACCGCAGGGAACTGGAAAACGTTTGAGGATGGTAGTACTCGATAGACCTGGCCATTCTTAAACGACTTATTAATCCGATCAGAAATTACATGAAAATAACGGATTTCAGGTTAACACGTTAACTAATCGGGTAGTGATCAGGATACACGCTAACTAAATCCTTATTGTTGGATTCTTTGATCTCACTTACGTTTTAGTATTACGTTTTTCATTTCGTTATTTATTGATTTAATATAGTTTTTCTCTCCGAGTAACGCGTCGGGTCATATCAGGTCGAGTTCAAGTATGTTTATAATACCCGTCATTTTGATGGTGTTACAAGACACAACCTGTTAAAATATCGCGTATGTCACGAAAATAACACTAACAAAAAAAAAAAAAAAAAACACGACACGAGTGCTAGATCTAGTACTAGACAACGGACATTGATGCGGAAAATGTCATGGCAAATGTGGCAGTGGCAATTGACACCTGCGGAACGATATATGATCAACTAGCGAGGCAAGAAGGAAAACAAACTTGATGACGCGAAGGGGTCGATGTATCATATATAGTTTAAGGATCACATACAACTTATCACTAAGACACTAAAGGGAATTTACGTGATGCCACCGCCACAAAAAGAACAAGCTGGTGTGCCTGCAGGTCGTCGCTAGATGTCTTAAACAATGTCGAGTGCAGGATGCCTTAGCCTTTTAAATTGTAGGAAACAGGAAGTGTTTCATTAAACTAACTCGTGTGACGAATGACAAACGTTTATTAGACGAGTGACACGCTTGAGTCTATTTTCTTGATTACAAGAAAGTTTCTCCCCGAAAGAGGGTTTCTGAACAGGAAAGCTCACCGGTGGTTTTATTGGCTACTCTGTCCATGTGATTATGCTAAGTTGATGACGTGAGGAAGGGGCACCTCAGATTCAGTTTTAACTTCTAACTTGCAAGAGGGAAGCGAATTGTAATGTACCATTACCATGGAAACCTACTCACCAACAAGTATCGACTCTCTCTTGTGCCCTGAGATGCGATTATATTTCTATAGCACTCATTACGCGATGTAACCTTTAATTGTATGATCACTATAGATCACGCGACGTAATATAAAGATGTTTCATTGCCAGTTGTAGGAGCACTATACCAACACAAGGACGCATCCTCGTTGCATGCAAGTTTCTCCTCTCAAGCTGGCCATACTAAGCTCCAACCAAATACTATAATTCCATTACATTCTCATTCCCATCCCCTTGAACACCACATCCTTGATAATTAATTTAGGTATGGGTTACCATAGTAGGTAGATCAAGCCGAGCAATCAAACTTGTTCAAGCTTTAGATTACCTCCTTCCCCTTGCCCCTAGTCTTAACCAGATATCGAACATGATAGACACAAACAAGGCAAAGAGACGGGGTAAAGTGACGATTTTTCAGTTTCAGATGGCAATGTCGAAGTCCAAATGTCAATCAAGATTGCAATTCACATATCACAAAGTAGACATTTTTATCACAACCACGAATCCCTCAATCTAGGATTAACAAAGTGATTCCAATCAAAATCAATCAATTTAGACAAATCCAAAGTTGAATTTAATGCAAAATGTTCAGTGCAAATATTGTCAAATGCCAGAGTTCACAACACTATACAGTAGAGAACAAACACCAAGTTAAGCAAATTCCCAAAAGATCACAATTAGGGTTTCAAATTCAAGCATAACCTCCCACCAAAATTGGTCCTCCGCCATCTTTCTCTTCCTCCTCCTCACCCTTCTTCTTCTCTCCGATCTCTAATCCCGCCAATCCATCCAGACAATCCCTCTCCCCACCACCTCTCACGTCCTCACCTCCCACGATCACCTTATCCCCTTTCTCCTTCTCGCCGCCCACCACCACTTCATCTCCGCCGATCTCCACCGACCCACCCTTGTTTCCGCCGCACGATCCTGCCGACCGAGTCTCCGGCTCGGCTCCGACCAGCTCGCCGGTGTGATCCTTCAGGTCCGGCCAGGGGTCATTGACGCAATCTTCGAACGATTCCTCGTCTTCGTCGGAGGTGAAGATCGAGGTGGCGGGCGACTTGACGGCCGCTGCTGCTTTGAGGAAGGCTTCCTTGATGGAGTCTGGCGGGAGGGCGCAGTCTTCGAGGCCAGCGTCCTCGAGACGCGGAGGGAGGATGTGGTGCAGTATCCCAGCTCCTTTATTCTCGGTGGCCTCCATCGTTGAAATCAGAGAGGAAGAAAAGCATCGAGGAAGAAGAGGAAGTGCAACGCCAGCGATCGATGTAGAAACTATTGGGTCTGTTTGGTCGCTTGAGTAAACAATTGCGGCTTCCTTGTAGGTCTGCTATATTATTCGCTGTACACGTGTCATGCGTCGAAGGAGTATCATACGTGTCAATAGCTCTACAATGTAGAGTCTAGAAGGTTAAATAAGATAAATAAAGAGGAGTGTGCTAAATATATTAAGTTTACAATTTGCTCTCTTAAGAATAGACCTGTTAATTTTTTGCACGATCAATTAATACGACACGTAAATGATACAAAAATAATGGGTTTCGGATCAATGCGATAACTAATTGGAACATTATCGGGTCACACGATAAGAACCCTTTAATAACGAGCCCTTAACAGGTTTACACGAGGGTAACACGTGCGTGACCCGTTTCGACATATTAAGAAAAATGTTATTTTCATGACTCTAATTTTTTAAACTACTAAAAAGACTTGTTATAAAATACAATAGCATAACGTATGTCTATATTGTATGTTAAATATGTATTATTGTATTATTATTCTATATAAATTTAAAATTGTTGTAGGCCTATTTGATTGAACTATTCTCTAGCGTTATCCAGACGAATAGACTTGATCGGATAATCAGGGTGATGAGCCATTAGCTTAATAATTTGTACTAGGAGTTTCGCAAATGCAAGATTGCATGTGGACAGTAAGTAGATACGTGACTAATGTGTTGATGCATCAACCAACACCATAAAGTATGGTCTGCATGTTGATTGGAAGGTCCACAAATATCCCCTTGAATCCTCTGAAGAAACTTAGGAGGGTTGTGAATAATCTTTGTAATTGACGGTTGAGTATGCAACTTCCTCAAAGAACAAGCTTTGCATGGCAAGAATCCAACATAGGGAGGTAAATGATGCCCATGTGATGATTTGAGGATACGGCGCATTATGTCGCGTCCGAGATGTCCCATACAATCATGCCAAAGTAGCAAAGTGCTTTGGAACTCAGGCACAGGGCCGACCACATGGTGGGCTTCTATGCCCCGAATGGTTGTTTTGTACAACCCACTCGGGAGACGTTCTAACTTCTCGTGAATATGTTTTTGGCCATACTCGTAAGAAGTGATACAAAGAAATTCTTAACCATTCTCGTCAGTGGTTTCAATATGATATTGATTATCTCAAACATCTGTAAAACTTAGCAACGTTCTTCCAAAACGTGGAGAATATAGGGTCTCTTTAATGGTTCAAACAGTACCATTAGATAACATTATACGGGCCTTTCTGTATCCTTCAATCAAGTTGGATGAGCCTGAGAGAGTTGTCAGATGTGCTTTCTTAGGTACGAAGTTAGTAAAATAGTGTCGCTCACACATATGGTGTGCATGGTAGCACTATCAACCAGACAACTAACTTCCCCACTAGACATACCTAGAAATAATTGATTGAATTGGTCGCATGCATAAATATAATTCCATTCATTCAATTAATCAATTCAAGAAATAGTATCCATAATTCAAAACAAACCAAAACCAAACAAATTATTCCAAATACTTAGAAAAATTGTCCAAAAATTAAACCATAAACCTAAAAGCTAGGGGGGAAGGGGGGTCCGACCTATTATAAATATTGTAACCCCACTCCTATATCAAATCCTAGATATCCTCATGGATTGTCCCAGTTCAATACGGATTTCATATCCTAAAAGCTCTCTCTCCCGACTGTTATAAATATTGTCATCTAGGGCATACTCTGGTAACGCATATAAAGCACTTCATTTGCATAATGCATAATCTTTGCTTATTCTCTTGCCCCTACTTTAGTTTTAATATTGCTTACTAACTTGACTACGAAAAGCCCTTGGCCAATATCCTGTCGGTACTCAAAGTCTGACAACGGTTGTTTGCTTTCTTACATGTGGTCAGACTTGCATAGCTCCTCCATCCGCAACAGTGCGTGAATTTGGTTCCAACATTATCCATGTGTCAAGTGATGCCAGAGTTGTTATTTTAATTTCCTTTGCATTTACAATTTTACCCCTCTATGGTTGAAGATGAGTTTGTATCTCCTTATTTCCTTCTTTCTCTCTCCTCTTTTTTCTTCAGCACTTCTCTCGCCTTTTCTCTCCTCCTTCTGACCTCTCTCTCTCCTTCTCTTCTTCTTCATATTGTTCCCTAGATTTATGAGTTTTTTTTATGAGAATTATTTTTAGCTTTTATTCTAGTATTATCTGAAAGTATTTGATTTTGAGGTTTGATAATTTGGATGCATGAATTTTGAAACTGATCTTGTAGAATTGCTAGAATTTCTAAACTAATCCTGCAGAAGTGCATGTATTGTGAAACTGTTCTGGCAAATGTGCAGAAAATTATAAAACTGATCTTGCAAAAATTAATTTTGACAAATCTAAAATCAATTGACGTTTTTATAAGCGGTGTAGTTTTGGACAAGTCTATGAAGGGCACGGCTGAAATTTTAAAATTTGATTTGCTTATTTTTGAGCTAGATTAGATTTGTTGTTGTTTCAACTTTTGTCTCTCTTTGAAATGCTTCAAAACTAGTGGAGTTCTTGAAATGTATTTTGTGTTTTTATCTCCATAGGTAAAGCTCCCATTAACTTGATTCTTGAGTTTCCTCCATTTACTAAAATTCATGAGTGGAAGCCAGTTCATTCCTAAAATTTACCACATGTTTACTAACCCGTACGGAATCGAAAAAAGTGTAAATTTCCCCTAAAATCCAAACTCAAATACTAAATATTAATATCTTGGTGCTATACCATTTCAAGCATCAACTTCAGCCTTCACCAAGATGAAAACTGCAGTGCAAAGTGTGGCCTAATATGCTGTTGATTTCAAACAGCTACAGTGAATGAAAGAAGTAAAGAACCACTACACTTCCAGATAAACAAATTAAAGGGGAAATAAAATCATTAAATATAAACAAAAGCAATGCAAAGTAAACAAATGACTCTTCCCATTCACTTCTAATACAAATAAAACTTTGTAACCGTTCCCTATAATCATCAACTTTTAAGATTACCGAGTCTTAAATCACCAAATATCGTTGACAAGAACTGCATTCTGCCATCCAAAGAGCAAAAGCCCACTCAATAACTCCTCAACATTCACAGCCAGTAGATCTTTGCTGCCTCCCTCCGCCAGCAACGTCAATTGTGTCCGGAAGGTATCTTCATCATCCACAAACAAAATCCACAAGTATTCAATTAGTACCCCGGTAGAAACCGAGTATTCCAACTAATTTAACATTTAAATTATGTGGAAAAGGTAAACGGGAAGAGGAGCTTCTAATAAGTTCACGAAGTATAAGAGTCGTGTGTTTTTCTTTTTGGCTTGTGGTGTTCGTTAAATTATTGCTATAACCTAAGATTCTGCAGTTTTGGGGAGAACTGGAACTGAAGCCATAATACTCTATTTTACTTTTACCCTATTTGTCAACAAGAGCTGGGTTCTATCTTACTTGCCAACAAGAAATGTTATACTTGTAGAACTTGTGCACGACCATCATATGATGTCACCGTGCTGATGTCGTAGTAATTAGAGGCATTAATAATACATGGTGAGTACTTGAAATGAAAAACTTCCTTTTATTTCTAACAAATGACTTCATTTGAGTAGTAAGACGCATTAAGTCAGCGTGATGACATTATACAACGGTCCACACAAGTTTTTCTCTGGTTGGACAGATATCCGGTTCTTTTATAATAGCTGTGCAATCAAAACCGAACCATTACGCAATAATTTTTTAAGTAACATGACTTTCATGATTTTTTCACTAACACGCTATTGATTGGACAGCTAATATCAAAGACCCTTCTTCCCCATTTCAAGTTAAAATGGAGAGGATTCTTGTTCAGAAACCATAGAGATCAAGGAACCAGCTTTTAAGACCAGTTTCCTTTTCTTTACAGTTTACACACACACACGTAATATTTTGAAACAGAGAAGTTCTGTTTTACACTCCTTTGGTGTATGTTCTCTTAAAATCGAAGGGAGTTGGTGAGTATACACCTTGGGTTAAGGTGGTGTTAAGCAAAAATGCTCCCTTAACTAGGCATAAGTGTGTTAAACGATAAGGTAGCCTCTCTCCACATAAATCACATACCTCAAAGGGTTGAATGCAAGAACCCCTTATTAAAAAGGTGAGGGAATACCACTTGACTGTAATTACTAATTACTAATTATGAAAAGCAACTACAAACAAGAGGTATTTCTCCTCCTCTATAGAAGTAGGTATACATATCAACTTGTTGTGGACAGGAATAAATAAGAAGAATTGCTATCTATACCTACCATCACAATTTGATGGAAATTAATTGACTGGTAAATAAATTTTGTTGTCCAATTACTCTAAATTGATCAACATCACCTATTCAGATAATTATCTCAAATTAGGGTCCCAGATGTATAAGATATTTCTTAAAATAATTGGAGAGGGCCTAAATTCAATGCTGAAAAAGAAAACTTTTAGGGAAAAGTGACTGGAAAACAAAATGATAAATCGGCTAAGTAAAAAATACTTACATTTCTTCTTCAGGTTCATTCTTCAGTGCGTTTTTGGCTATGCACTGGAAGGCATCATCCACATTGAAGCCCTCTTTTGCAGAAGTCTCAAAGTATGGTATGTTTCCCTTGGAAGCACACCAGGCCTTTGCTTTCTTTTCAGACACCTACAGCCAAAAGAGTAGAACGATATGCACACACTACAAGAGAGGAACAGCTGATGTACACACATTCTAGAGCAACAACATAGAACCTCCATATTCTAGAATCTAGACATCTTACCACTCGACTATTTCCGCCATCAACATCAATCTTGTTTCCCAACACAACAAATGGGAAGTTCTCAGGGTCAGATGGACTGGCCTAAACATCAAATACACACAACGTAACTATCAGTCAACACTTCATATGTGTGACTATCTACGGAGATAATCAAATTGTAATTACCTGAATCAGAAATTCTTCCCTCCAGTTGTTAAGATTATCAAATGATTTCATGACATTCACATCATACACGAGGACACAGCAATCAGCACCACGATAGAAAGCCACACCAAGACTCTGAAACCTTTCCTGACCAGCAGTATCCCAAATCTGTACACATGAATAAACGGTGTAAACCTTCTAATTTGCAAGTGCATGTATATCGACATTTTCTCTTACAAACGATTTCATGACATTCACATCAATTGTTGATTCATATCACTTCCCATTACATGCTGAGCGTGATAGATAGGGCTGTCAATACTGCAAATGAGATAGATGATAATCTCAAACATGAAGAAAATATGTTTCTTTCTATTATAAGTTGGTGTGTGTATGGAAAGCAATAGTTTCCTCCGAAACTGATATAAAGCATAGATTTCACCTTCCATTCTTTTTTCATTTTCAAAACTACTATTTATCTGTACTCAAAAAAACAAAAAACCTACTATTTATCTAAGTACCTTTCGCAGCCATTACTAAATTTACGTCACACTTTTCAGCATCAATAACATTATAACAAAGACAGAAATAGCAGCAATCTTTCTCTTGACTCCAGAACCCCACAATGTTCAGCTGTCTACACAAGTATCATAAGCTGTCCAGTATTCACTAAAGAAAACATTCTTGATCTTGAGAAATATAAAGTCTGAATCTTCAACTTGGAATTGTTATACCCTTTGTAAATTAAGTAGATAAACGGAAACCAACATCTTACAACAGCAACATAACCAAAGGAAAGCAACTATTGTTTAAAAGAGAGGTACAAAAGTAACAAATGGGTTTTTCACTCAGAAACAAAATGTATAAGAATACATAATCTAAGTGACAATGAGTTAACGACAGCCAATCGAACTAGCAACAGAGTTAGGGGTTCAATCATGATTGCTCAACATTGCATCATATAGCGTTTTACTTTCATTGAATATATGAATGCTCAGAGATCTCTAACCTGCAGCGTGAACAACCTATCCTCAAACTGAACCTCCTTGGTCAGAAAATCGGCTCCAATTGTCGCCTTGTACTGATTGCTGAACTTGCGATTCACATACCTACAGTTCAAAAATCCAAATACAAACAATGAATTACAAAACCACCATATATGAATCAAAATCTCAGAAAGTTTGAACATTATCAATAATTAAAAAAAAATCCATGATCTAAGTTGAGGACAGTACTGATTCATCAGCGATGTCTTCCCCACCCTGCCAATCAAAATAAATAAGCAAACAGATATCAGTTCACAAACACATTTTGAGAATTTAACAAATAATTGCATAATTACAAGAAAAATTGAACTTTTAAAAAAGAAAAGACATTATATATCGAAACATGCAACAAGTTGATCAGGCTGGGTTTCCATTTCTATAAAATAAGACACAAGATTTAGAACTTTTCCCGGTCTCTCATCATATTCCTCCATTTTCTCAGCAACCAAACAAATAATTATGAAAATTATGGAAAAATAATTCAACAATTTTTCTCATATTTAAAGCGAGCTTACCCGCTGTCGCCGAGGATAATGACCTTCAGAAGCATGCGCCTACGAGAAGCCATGGATCACAGGATTGTAGATTCGAAATCAGAATTTCCCAGAAAAAAAAAAAAGTAAAATAATTAGGGACAATTTTCGAAATTCGAATTTGGTGTTTGAAACCTTCAGAGAGATTTGCAACAAGAACAGAGAAAATATGAGAGAGAGAGAGAGAGAGAGAGAGAGAGAGAGAGAGGAATATTCTTCCCGTAGCTGGTATTGTTGTTTGGAAGCAGAGTTTAACCCGATTGGGGGGATTAGTTCTCCTTTTCTGGACCAATTGAACTAGGACAGGCTGGACAATGATCCCACTGCTCCCAGAGTTTTGAACTTTTTTATTATTCCTAAAGTGCCCCAACTTTTTTGTTGATTTTACACTTTTTTGTCCTTCCAAAGTTTGGACATTCTACAAGGGAATTGTTATTAACACTCTAAAAATCTCATTCTACACTTCAAACTTTCTATAGTAACAAAGAAAAATACACTTTGTGAGGAGTGTAAAAAGAGATTTTTAGAATGCCAATAACACTTCCCTTCTATAAAAAGGAATTTTTTCTTTTTTTTAAATGACCAATTGGTGGTTTTGTCACAACATTCCACTCTTTTGAAGGATGATAAGATATTTCAGTTTCTTCTGACAACTAAAAATTGAACTTTGAATGTATCGTGTAAAATACAAGCTTGAAATTCATTTATAATCATTGGATACCGTGTGTGGTAGTTATTCCATAAAAAAAAGATTGGAAACTTGAGAATATCCCATTTTTGTAACTCGAGTCAATCCACCAAACTTAGTTTCTTTCTTTGTTGGTAGGGAATGATAAGACTTCATTTATTGAGATATTTCCTTTCTTCGTTCTTTTTCCACTTCCGATAAGGTCTCATTCAGCGTCGGCATACAAAGTCTTTAAGGAAGGGATTTTCATTTAGAACTTGTTTTTAGGACTCATATCACATCGAATTTTAACAATTTGAACAGTTTAGTTTTTAAATTGCATTTCATTGATTATTTTTGCAAAATATTTGTTAAATCGGAAATATCTAATGTATCTAAACGATTGATGAACACTAACATTGAAATTTCATTGTAACAATTATATAGGCATATGGTTTTGGATTAAATTGAAATTTTTGCAAAGATGATCTATGAATCAAGACTTATAAAATTAGACAATTCGGATCGTGAAGTTCTGTGTAAAGTGAGTCCAACAACTAATCTCCAACTTTCGAAAAAAAATGGGAATCTTTCCTTTTAAAGGGCCTGCATGCCAATATACATATGTATATATGTATTGGACTGCAACCTGGTCAATCGAATTTGATATACAATTCACAAGCAAATAACACAACTTGTGCATACACAAAAGGTATCAACAACTTCAAGAAATGTAAAATATATAACCAACTGTTTAATATAACAATGAAAAAATCCGCCAAAATACATACAGAATTATTCCTCCTCCTAATTCTTCCCAACTTCAACAAACAATGTCAAACTTTGTTCCATTGTTAAATCCATCTGGAACACAATGTTGAACGGCCACGAAAGATGTATTGATATCGACATTCCAGGCGTCTGATTTCATTCAAACTCCTGGGCGGTATAGAAACACTCGAATTCTTCAAACAACTCTGCATGCAGCTCCCGCAGAAATCATTAATCTAGCTGAAGACTCGTACATTCGATCTATCAAATGTACCGTAGAAAATGGTGTTTTTTCATGTTAGCAGGTGTGTGATTCTTTGTTGGGAATCAGTTGTCAAGCGCTTCACTCAAGATCTTGGGTGTCTTTCTTTGTTTTCCCGAGTTCCATCTCTCGGGTGGTTTGTTGGCCTTCGCCACTTGAGGTAGACTGGAGCAGATCAAAATCACTGCTAGGTCCACTGTTCTCACTGGTCCCTTGCTCTTGGCTTTCTAGTGCTAGTTTTCTGAATTTATTCAAGTCTTCCTTGTACTCAGTAGCGTTGTACTCTGAGCTTCCATAACTGAATACCGTACTCTGACCTGGTATAATTCCCTCATTTAACTCATCCGGAGAAAGATTTCCTTCCAAAGCTCGAACCACCTGATTTCAATCAAATCTTAAGGATCAAATGGCACATGCAGAACAATGTCTACATGGATCGGTTAAATAGGAAAATCAGCACACAGTCAAATTGGAATTATTACGTTTCTTCGGCGTACTAACAACCTTAAAATGTAAAACTGTACAAGGTAATAGGAAAGATCAATGAAACGGAAAATCTAAAGTAACCGGCCACAAAATCTTACACGACTAGGTTGGTTCAACCTTTGAACTGTCTGTCTGCTTGGGTTTACCAAACCAATAACTTAACATCGGATTCAAACGTCCCACCAGGAGACTTAAAGCTCCGTTGGTTCATGGAATGGAAAGGAAAACAAATCTTATGTGTTTTCCAGGGGGTGATGAGAAATGAGAATGCATTTTTCCCATTAGTGTTTGGTAAAGTTGAGAAAGTAACTAGGAAATATAGGGACCAAATTGGAACTTGAATTTCCGAAGTTCCATACATTACTCAGATAAAGAAAATTTATATAAACATGAGCAATAGACTACTTTAGGGATCAACTTGAGAACTTTGAAAGATTACCTGGCTCATTCGCGGCCGATGTCGGCCAGAATGACGCACGCAAGCAGCAGCGCAAGCAAGCATACAGGCCATTTCACTGGTGTTGTAGTCATTCTGCAACCTTACGTCAACAAGAGCATCAAAGTTGCCTGTTTCCAATGCTTTCGCAAGCAAAGGCCTCGCCTGAAATTCAAGGGCATAATCTATCAGTTTTTTCATGCCATTCAAGCTTTCTACTGAAAAACAAATTCCGTTCTAATAGGCAAAGACAAGAACAGAGAGCCACACAGAAGAATTGGCCATTGCCATATACCAAAGAACTATCCAGCAGAACAACAGAACTTGGTAACAGATCAAAAAAAAAGTGTGCTTAACACTACGTTTGGATGAGGGAAATAAACTTAGAATTTGGATTAAAAAAAGTTTTAAAATAACAAATTCTGTATTCAATTCCGTTCTTCTTTAGGTTAACCAAACAAGAAAATTCACAAATTCTAGAAAATAAATCCCATCATTGCAATTTCCGTCATTTTAAAATTCCATAGTGACTTTAAATTTCTTCATCCAAACGGAGTGTAATAGTTTTGTGCTCCACAAAAATATGATGGTAAAGTACAGGTGTTAAATTGGCAGTGAGAATATTCTATACACACCCACTCGACCATGCTATCATCAGTGAAGGTTTGAGTTTTATCGATGGGTTGGCGTCCAGTTATCAATTCCAATAGCACAACCCCATATGAAAAGACATCTGACTTCTCGGTGAGCTTTCCGCTAGATGCATATTCAGGAGCTAAGTAACTGCATTTGGTAGGTTTGTGAGAAAGCAAGAAATGGAACTATATTAGAAAATCAACCATTACAAGTTTATAAACTAAACAAGAGATGTTTTTTATTTCACTCCAAGCTCGACAACATGGAACCAGTAAAGCTATGAGTAAAAAGTAAAGCAGACAATTAAACTTACCCAAAAGTTCCCATGACCCTTGTGGAAACATGAGTATCTGTATCTAAAGACAACTTGGCAAGTCCAAAATCTGCAACCTGAACAAAGATCACATACAATACAAAACATGAGTCAATGTTAGAAGAACTTAAAACCAAATTGACAAAAATATTTGGCAGAGCTGTCTTAATGATGGATTCGCTTCGTCAAATGATAAGCATAGCCGATTGTAATGTTTGAGTCACAGTTATCCACATAGCCAACATTCAGGTAAAATGAATGCCTTTACTTTGGCATGGCGAATCAGAAGGGAGGAAAAGAATCAAGGTTTTTGCGAGAAAGTTACAGTACTAGCCCAATACTATTCATTTTTTTCAATGCAACTTTTGCAATTTTACCTTTTGTAAATAAGGACTAACAAGTCTACCTTTGCCTCAAAGTGATGATCAAGAAGAATATTAGCTGCCTTGATGTCACGGTGTATGATCTTGGGTTGACCTGGAGATATAGCTCAAGAGTGGGTGAATTCCAAAGCAGACAACACAGACCAGAAACTTTTTTTTATGGTTGTCGACAAAAAAGCTAGCACGCAAAGAAGCTTACAGTCCTCATGGAGATATGCCAATCCTTTTGCAGAACCTAGGGCGATTTTCAATCTAGTTGGCCAATCCATAGTTGGTCTCCCCTTTCCTGTAATTTTTCTATTTGATAATATTCCAATCATTGATATAAAAAGCAAAAGATTAACCAAGGAAAATACTTACCATGCAGATGAAATTCCAGGGTATTGTTTGGAACGAACTCGTAAACAAGCAACCTCTGGACCCCACTAATGCAGTATCCAACCAGTGAAACAAGATGTCTATGATGGACACGACTAATAACTTCAATCTCTGCTTGGAATTCACGCTCCCCTTGCCCACTCCCAGCTTTCAGCTGCTTAATTGCAACCACTTTCCCATTTGGTAGGACTCCTTTATGAACATATCCAAATCCTCCTTGACCAAGGAGATTGACATTGGAGAAACCATTTGTTGCCATCGCCAATTCTTCATATGTAAATGTGATTTGTGACGATCCAAAGGCAAAGCCAGACGATGCTACTGAGGGTGGTTTCTCAGAGCCCAAGCTGCTACTAGTTGAACTTGAAGATGGTACTGGGGGATGAGTAGGCTTTGGAAACAGTTTTACTTTTTGTGCTGGTGGAGGAACATAATTATGTTGCAAATGCTGAGGTGGACCACCAAAATCGTCTGCAGAAATCAAAGAATAGTAATTATACAAATTTAATTAGAGGCAACGATCAGATGTCAAGAATAGTGGGAGTTTCACAAATTATAAAGATTTCACAAATTAACGGAAGATCGGCATTGTCTCTAAATCTCAACTTTTGCTCTCCTCAATTTGAACCGCATGATAGCTTCTACCTAATACTTATTTCAGTGGAGATGCACGGAGCACTGAACGTTCAACGACGCCAGGGTGTATGAAGAGGCCTTCCCCCTCACTCCCACAACACGCTTCTTCCACCTCCTTAAGCACGAAATGAACTAAAAACTAAAATCGAAATGGTTATCAAACCGGCACGTAAATAGTTTCAATTTCTAACCAATTTGTAACTGAATTCAGTTCAACTCACGCAATGCCAAAGAGGAATCTTAAGCAGCAGCACAAAATTCATCACAACAAAATCCAAGTTTTTAATGAAAAGGAGCTCACTTTTGGGTTCTTCTGGATAGTTCCCCGACTCCTGCGCTTTCGCCTGCCGCCTCTTCCGCCTTCTGTAGAAAAGGAAGAAAATGCCCCCCACAAGTAGCGTACAAAACCCTCCAATCACAACCCCTACTATAACGCCTAAGTTCGGGTTCGTCGGCAATCCCGGCGAATTAGACAGAGGTGGCGGAGGGGAGACTCGGTCGGCAGCTGACGCTGTCACCGTTCGAGGAGGCGGAGAAGGTGTGGTGTCAGTTGGTCGTCGAAGGAGGAGTTGGCGCGGTGGCGTTGGTCGTTGGAGGAGTTGGTGAGGTGGCGTTGGTCGCAGGTGAAGCAGGAGGAGGTGACGTGGAGTTGGTCGCCGGAGACGGCGCCGACATTCCCGCCGAGATTAAAAGTCTGCGAGGGAAGGAGGAGCTGCAATTTGAGAAGAGAAAAAGACTGAAAGAGAGGGAAAAGAATACAGTCACATGGGTTGGTGGTGGCAGGGAAGAAGACATAACGCGGTGGGACCCATTTTTGCACCAAAAAATATTTTCTTACCAAACGTAACTACAATGACGATGCTGTGTTGATTCTCTCTCCCAACATGCTTAATGAGTTGTGTTTTTACGAACACAAAATTAAAATTGGATTGATTTATAAGTATTGTAGCCGATTTCTTTTTAATCAAAGTTTTAATTTGGGCCAAGAACTTAGAAAGAAAAAAAAATTAGATTTTTTCGTACAAGGAAAATTTAGATTAAATACTAAATCTAACATATTTTTTAACAAAATAAAAGTTGAAACTTTTTTAAGATTAGAACTACTAAGCAAAATCCAAGAATAAGTCACAAATCATGTTGCTGTGTGATTTTCTTTAGAGGTGCAGTTTAAAACGTTAAAGTAAAAATTTGGAAAAATCAACTAAACCGGTTGAGCCGGTTTTTAGTTAATTTCGGTTATCTAAGGTTTGCATTACGGCCGCCATACACAAGCTTGTGGTTCCACTTATCATCAATGTGTTAAGAGGAGAATTGGTTTGAGACAAATTTGCATACCTAGGAACCAAATGCGATGAAGTCCATTATGATAGATGCATTATTTATCATATTTTCATATTAATTATCCTTAAGTTTTGTTAAGGAATTGATTATAAAAAGCCTTATTACTTTCATATTTTTCAGTTTCAGCCAATCTGCACATGCATGACGTTTTTTTGTGATAATTCGACTTTCTGGAGGAGTTTGGATGCAAGGTGAATTGGAGAAGGAAGTTAAGAGGCTGAACATTGTTGTATCCAAATTTCATAATTTTCCATGGAGCCATTCATTCCAGTTTTACAAATCAATTCCGCAAAAGTTGTTTTCCCGTCAGAATTGCACAGCTGTGGGAGAATAGAGATTTGAAGGCTTTCCCGATTTTTCCCAGTGGTGTCCGATATATGCCTGTAAAGATAAGAGATAAAGCTACGTTTTTCATATTTTTACAGATTTTTCCAGAAGATAAATCGACCCCAAACCTGGCGTGCAAGACAGATGACGTGTTTCCCAAGTCAAGAAAGATTCATTCCTAGTTTGTGTGTCATTAATTCTTTAGGAGTTTGTTTTATTTTAGGAGAGTTTCTCCCATACTTTTTAGGGTTTTCTAGTATAAATAAGGTCCCTAAGCTCTCTCTGAGATCCATCCATCCACCACCGCACCATACTACCATTCAATTTGTGAAGAAGAGCTTAGGGACGTGCTTTGCCATGGATTCCGGGTTCTATCTTTCTTTTATTTTTATTTCTATGTGTAACTAAGTTATTTTCTAAGGTTTATGATGAAGCCATGACATGAATATTTGTGAAGTACTTTGTTAATTATTATCTAATTATATGTCATGTTATATTCTTAATCTTTGTGGGTATTTTATTCTAGGTTCGATTTTCTAATGACTGATCATCTTTAGGAATTTTGCATATAGAGATTTAGATAAATCTATGAGGATGAACAATATCAATTAGGTTTATTGGAACTAAGATTAAGAAGAGTAGAAAAAGTAGTGAGGATGACCAATATCAAGCTAGTCCTATTTGGTTGACATGATTCTTCTACGCTTAATGGTTTTTTATGTGTTTAATTGTATGTCTAACCAATAGAATATAATTATCATGTAGAGATATAAGAGTTGATGCCTGAACACGGATTAATTCATACCTTAAAAAGAACAACCTTTAACATTGGCATGGTAATTGGATTGTAATTGGCTCTAAGAAAAGTAAATAGCATTGTTATTGGTGGATTCATAACCTTAGGCTTTCTTGTGTCCTATGTTTATTTTAATTAATTATCTTTTCTTTTTCTTGTTAATTATAGTTTTAATCAATTATTCGATTCAATCTATTCTTTGTTTGTTTAATTAAGTCTAGTGTGATTATCGACCTTGTATTTGCATATATTACTACAATTGATTAGTACGCTTGCGAATTTAATTTAGTTTAAATTAATCTATTATTTAGGTTAGTTTAAATACACATCACATTACTCTTATGCAAAGTTCTACAACGATTTCTCTAGTTCCAAAAGTAGTCCATCTAGGGTTTTGGGCACACCTCTGCCTTCATATGAAGAGTTGTGTGACCTTAGCAACACAGAACTCATACTAGCCTTACTGTGAGGAAGCAGAACCCAGTTAGAAGTGAAAACCTCACATACACCCAACCACAGTGCTCCAAGGTTACACTGCCAAATGGATGCACTGTATGCCCCTTATGAAGGCTTGGGGGACCCAACCATGTTGTGTGAGAAAACCATTAGTAGGGATGAGCTGTATATGTTGTTGACCAGACACTCTCCAAAAAATCATGCTAGCTAACACAAAATCCCACACACACCTCATCCTCACTAACGCATGAACCACTCATCTCTTTGTGAATTAGAGAGAAGTGCAAATGGTTTTCATGAGTTGAATACATAGAGAGATTTTCTAGAGAGAAACCACAAAAAGAGAAGATATAAACCATCTTCCTCACCCTCTCCTTCTCTTCTCGTCCCTCCCTAAGGTGGGCAAGTCTTGTACTGGTCTCTCAAGCTTGCTCATCCATCACCATACTCTCTTAGTCGATGAGGTGTCAAGAGTTAAAAGATCTCTTCCTTGAGGTCTTCTCAATGAGCTTATCGAGGTGGATAGAAACAATTTTTCTCGAATAATGGTAAAGAGGCAAAATTTGTAGACAAATTTTGCAAACCAAATGATGTGTCACAAATAAGAAATAAACACATGTATCAATGTTGAAGTAATAATTCAATCATCAACTTCCATATGATTTAGTTTACAAAATTTTGTCTATAAATTTAATCTCCCTAACATTACTCATCTTTCGCCAAGTAGAAGGAAGGAGATTCTCATAAGCCATAGAGTGAAAAAGGGTGAGAATTATTTATGAGTCAAAGAAGTAAAGAATAGTTTATGGCTAAGGCTTGCTAGAATTCTTGAAGGAGAATTCTAGAGCTCCAAAAGTTTTGAAAGAGTGAAGAAGGTTTCTCGAAACCTTGTTCAAATGTGAAATTTCCTCTGGTGAAGTTTTAATTCTGCAAGGGAAGATGTACAGAATTTTGGTTCAGGGTCTTTGTATTACCACTTTCCACCACAAATTTCCAATGGGATTGTTCTCCTTGGTGACTAAGTTTTGATTTGGAAGCTCCTTGGGTGATGATGTTTTGACTTTGTGTGGAGTTTATCAAGATGACTCAAATTGTGCACAATTGTGGCGATTTTGACAACCATGGGTTTGGATGACTGATTGCCATGGGATTCCGACAACTGTTGCATATGGTTTTCTAATTGGGATTTTTTTTTTGTTTTTATGGCTTTGTGTTAGGGTTTGTATGGGCCGGGGCTTATGCCTTTTGTTTGGGTCTTTAGGGGAGGGATTTGTGTATATTTTAGTTTTTTGGATAAACTTTGCTTTACCCAAAAAAAAAAAAATCAAAGTAGTGTTTCCTTTGCTTTCATAGAGCGCCCAAATGATGACACATACTTAATATGCACTAAGACACGACTCCCAATGTATGGAACTCGAGAATTTGAAACGTTTTCATCGACTGACCGCGATGTCAGATTCGAAGTGTGTGACAAAAATATTATACTCCCTATTAAGCCCTGAACCCGGGATCGATAGAAAAATTTTAAACCGAATATGAAACGTGAGTTAAAAACTAAATAAATAAAAGGAAATTGAAACCAGTTGGAAAATAAATTTCTTCTTATAAAATAACTTATGATTCATAAACAAATCAAGAACTCTTTACAATTCTAAAGTAAAAAAAGATGAATAAACATTCTATTCTCACATCTAATCCAATCTCATCTTGCCTACCCTTTTGAATGTCTAGTTCGTAAACCTACATAACAATAGAGGGATGAGCTTCAACAGCTCAATAGGAACATAACCTTGCCACAGCAACTTGACAATACTAAATCAAGTGCCATGAAATCATATATCAAAATATCAAATCATTATTGATAACAATCCATGAATACAATGCAACCTCTTCGGCTACCCCCGTTAAATTATATAATAAAACACGCAGACCTATACGTCCCATATCATGCATTTTACCATTGTAGTGGTGGTTCGAATGTTCTATTATAGAAACTAACCCTCATACAATATCCCAAATTCATAAACCCCTTTTGCTAGTCATCTTATCTAATTCAATGATCTCCAACCCAAATCACCCACATCGACAATGTATCCCACCGATATCCTATTCTAATGATCTTTTCCAACTACCCTCATTTCCTGAATTCCAATCTCAACACTGAGGTTCTAACCACATCTCACAACGTGAGTGATGCACAAATAATGTCATTTCATCTTTCGCATGTATCACAGTATATTCTCAAGAATAGCATTCCAACAATAATTCCATAACCAATAACAAGTAAACACTTAACTGATGCAATTAGCCAATTAATATCCAACCACATTAATCAACCAAAAAGATCAAGAATATTTTAACACTTCACGAAATTTAATAAAATAAATTTCCGTAAAGGTCTACCTTATTTCCCCTACATGGATTCCAAAGCTAAACTGAAGATGCACGTCACTACCATAATAACGAAGCTCCATGTACTTGAGCAAGCTTCTTGATCACTCCTAACGCCATGCATTTCTTTCACTCTCCTTTCTTTCCTAATTTCTCTCTATTTATACATAGATATTATATAATATATTATACAAACCAACGTACTCTACATGGAAACTACATGCAATGAACAAGATATAAAGATTTGGAGGAATTGTATGAATAAAAGTGAAAGGTGGGGTGATATTATGTAGAAAGTTGTCAAGTATAGCAGGAGGTGTCCAATATCATTGGATTGTAAGGTATGAGAGATTGACACTTGTTAGGGTAGTAGAG